TTAATAATCAAGCTTTATAAATATTTTGTAATCCTTTATTAATAGAGAATACATTTTATATAAACATGATTGAATTTTACAATTATTCCATAAATTATTATTGTTTATCATAATTTTTCATTTGTCATATAATTTTAATTCCTCATTTTCCTCCTCCTGCATATTCTCCTTAAGACTAGTTCTCCTCATCTACTTCCTCTCTTCTCTATATCGTCTATAGCATAAGGGTAGCCTAACCTACTATGCCATTGGAGGTAAAAGGAGAGAAGAATACCATTCAAAAAAATACTAGAACAAACTATTCATTTATTATAACTTCTTAAAAAAATCTCCTTTTTTAACTTAAAACTCTCTTACTCATGATTTAACTTATCCAAGTTTTAAATCATGCATTTTATATATTATAAGGAATCAAAAGGGCTATTAAATTGTTAACTGAATTTATTAATTATTCTTAAACAGAGATTTTGACAAAAAGAATTAATGAATCAATCATAGAACTCAAATTATGTATAAATTAAAATAATCATATAATATAGAAATATTCTATATTATTAAAAAATCAAGTAATGCAGATGTTGAAATGAATTCTCAATAGCATAATTAACATCTACTACAATAAATTCCAAATCTACACAAAGTCCTAACTTCTATTTTACAGAAATGCACAAGATACTTTTATCGATTTTGCAGTATATAACTTCAAGTTAGAGTAATAGAAATTCATTATTAAAAACAAAAAAGAATATGCAAGCCCATTTTTAAAAGATGGAAGCTCTAGCTGACATCTTTGATTAAGTAAAAGATGTAGATATACAAATCTTTGGGGCTATATTAGAAATATTTCGAAAGGAGTAAGTTTAAGACAGCATTGGATATCTATCAGAAATGGGGAATCAGAGACAATTAGTATCACAAATTTTAAAACAAGCAGGGAATTTCACACAAAATGATACAGAATAGATATTGTCTGTTGTTAGAAATGATATCAAATAATTCACAGAAGTCTTAAGAAAATTAAAAGACCATGACTTCAATAAGATAGACTATTCCTCTAAAGAAAAAGAAGAATCTAAATTTATTCTAATTAATAGCGTCATAATAAATAGATCATAGAATCTCTGTAATTTTTAGTTCATCTCACATCCATAGATGGCACTTTAATATAATGTGGGTCTAATTCATTAAATTTATTAATTTAAATGAAGGTGGACCTGAGTAACAAAAATTTTGAAAACATAAACATCTAAAATGCTTCTTTGGTGGGAGCTAATTTTGTAAAATGTAAATTTAGTGGATCCATATTTAATAATGTTAACATAAGTGGAATAAATCTGAATGGGGCATTATTATTTAATTGTAAATGGAAAGACTTACGAATCTCTGAATTAAATAAATTACATGGTCATAGTAGTTGGGTTAGATCAGTCTGTTTCTCTCCTGATGGAAATACATTGGCTTCTGGTAGTGCTGATTAATCTATTCGTTTTTTGGATGTCAAAAAAGGATAATAAAAAGCAAAATTAGATGGTCATAGTGATAATGTCTAGTCAGTCTGTTTCTCTCCTAATGGAAATATATTAGCTTCTGGATATGATAATGGCTCTGTCTTATTATGGGATACTAAAACAAGAAAAAAAAGAGGAGACTTTTCTAATTTTATTCTTTTTTCAATGTTCTCTTAAAAAATGTCATTTTACTTATTATAAACTCATATCAAATCTTGTTCACCTGATGGTAACCATATCAATCGATCATCCAAAAGTTTTAGATGAGAACCATCTTTATCTAAAATCTATCTATACAGCATGTTGAAATTAAAATTTATCTTCATTTGCTTTTTCCCAAATCAATATCTACTTATTTTGGCCACTTGAAATCAAAATATTTTCCAATTCATTCAAACTAATTGCATAAATATGATAAGAATAAAAACTGAAAATTGATAGATGTGTTATTGTATTTTAGCCATATTTAATTTTCCAAATTCTTATTGTTCCATTAGTTCCTGCTGAAAAAAGCAGTGTGTCATTTTTATTTATTTTCACACAGAATACTTAATCATTATTCAATTATATTAAAACTCCATTTTTGGATAAGAGTTTTCTGAAATATAATTGTTGAATAGTTTGTTTTCAAATATATTTAACAATAATAAATGGAAATGCATAGTTTGAGATGTTTAAAATTAATTTTTCATTTGAAGTTTGTAATAATAAGAACTTGAGCATTCCCATTCATTTTCTATATAAGATTTCCAACATCTTATAGTTTTATAACAATAGCTGAAATATAAAAATTTTCCTTTTTACTGAATAAATGGTAATTTACAATATCATTATGACCTTTCAAATTTTATTCTAATGTTAAAATTCCATTTTTTTAATTCCATACTTTATTAGATTACAAACAACTGGAAACCATAATTTAACTTTTTATATCAAAAGCTATAGCATAACATGTATCAGACTATACCTTTTTAATCTATCAACTAAAATTTTAGTTATTTATCTAAGTTTTAAATACTTTACATCTCTTACTACTTCTCAAATCTTTGGAAATAACCTTTTTCCTAATAAGATCATTTAAAATTGCTTAACATATCTTCTTCAAATTGACAATATTTTTCTAATTATCTATTAATTTTTGCACTCCATAAATTATTGATTTCAT